GCTCAAACAAGGCGAGGTCACGAAACAGGAAGGGGAGGAACAGGCGGCCAAGAAAGACAGTGGAAGGATTAGCATAGCGGGCCTTAATCGTAGTCAGGAGCTCACTAGCCGTGCGAACCTGCGTGAAATGGGTCTCCTTAGACTCAGGGAGTAGGCTGCTGAGGGCGATGCAGGCCGCAGCGTCGCGCGATCGCTAGGCACTCAGGTCAGCACGCTGACGCGCAACACGCCCTCTGTCCTCAGGGGTAGCGACAATGCCTAGGGTATCACGATCGCGGGGCGCGGGAAGGTCACCAGATGCGTGCGCCCACAGAGACTCGTTTGCCTGCACCTGACTCTCTAGGAGACGTTGCGCACGCTGGAGCCAGACAGAAAACTCGAGGGGCCTACCCTCGGCGTAAAAGCGAAGGACCCTAGGGGTCGCCATAGCGAAAGCAGAAACTACAAGGCCGGCAGGGCGCAGTGGCAGGCGAGGGCAGGGCGACAAGCACGGCAAGGAGACAAGCGGTTGGGCAGGAGGCGCGCGGGCGTGTGCAGGGCAGGCGCGCGACCAAAAGTAGGCACACGGTGGACGCTAGAGGGACGAGAAGTGATGGGGCAGCGAGCTCTAAGGGCAGGCTCGCAACGAGCGCAAAGGGAAGACGCGGCAAGCGCAAGAACGCAGGCCCGCAGCGGGCTCAAAGAACAGGCTCGGCGGGCGGCACGGGCAAGCACGGCGGGCAGGTAGGGCAGGGCCGCGGCAGGCTCTAAGGGCAGGCGTGGTAGGTGGCACGGGCAGGCGCAGCGGGTGTCACGGGGAGAGACGGCGGGCAGCGACTGCAGGCTTGCGGTGGGTGCAAAACGCAGGCACGGCGGGCGCCAGGGGCGGGCCCACGGCGGGCGTAGCTGACAGGCGCGGCAGGGGCAAACGGGCGGGCCCGTGACGGGCCGAACAGATAGGCGCGGCAGCGCGAAGGCAGGGCCCGCGGCGGGCCTAACTGGCGGGCGCGGCAACGGGCGTTACGGGCAGGCGCGGCGGCGTGAAGGCAGGGCCCGTGTTAAAACGAGAGGAGCCATGGATGGCGAGAGAGTTAGGTAGGGTAAAAAAATTTGAACTAGAAAGAGAAATGTCGAGGTACAAAAGAGAGATGGTTGGAAACCCTAATTGAACCTAGGGTGTGTTCAGTTTGTACTAAGAGCTATAAAATGAACCTAAAATGAACTTGAATGCGTAATGCTCTCTAAGCATGGAGAAATAATATAAGAACACCATTCACCACCAGAGCGAGCTCTAGCCTACTCCAACACACCCCCAGGCTAGGTGAAGCTCTGGAGCAAAACACCTAGCGAACCGGCACACCCCCAGAAGTGGAGAGACGCGTGAGCCCAAGCTCGCGCACGTAGAAACGGTGTGGCGCACGCAGAAGGGCCTTGGTGAAAATGTCAACAAGGTTGGCAGCAGCGTCCACCTTGCGCAGGCGTAAGAAACCAGACTGCACCAGCTCGCGCACAAATTAATAGCGGACCTCGATATGCTTGCTGCGGGTGTGATAGACAGGATTTTCAGTGAGATGAATCATGCTCGCACTGTCACAAGAGAGCGTCACAGAGGACTGAGAGTGACCAAGCTCAGCAAGGAGAAAGGAGAGCCAGCGAGCCTCCTGAGCTGCCAAGGTGCCTGCGTACAACTCAGCCTCACAGGTGGAAAGGCAGACAGAGGATGAGCGAGTAGAGCGCCAGCTTATGAGACCACTGCCAAGAGTGAAACCATGGCCCTGAGATGAGCGTCGATCAGGGCGGGAGTCAGCATAGGAAGAGTCACTGTAGCCGGAGAGAACGGGAGGAACAGAGCCACCAAGAGTGAGAGCAAGGTCAGAGGTGGCACGCAGATAGCGCAGGACGCGCTTAGCAGCCGCCCAATGCACGTCAGTGTGGCGGCCTAGACCAACAAAGCGAGAGAGAACACTGAGGGGGTAAGCAAGGTCGGGGCGAGTGCAAATCATAGCATGCATAGCTCAGGATAAGGCCGCAGCTCAGAGGAGGGAGCAGGGACGGCAGGGGCAGTGAGTTGATGGTTAGCGGGAAGAGGGGTGGAGACCGGCTTGGCCTGCGACATCTCAAACCTCTGGAGGATGGACTGGATATAGAAAGACTGGGAGAGAGAGATGGTGCGGGCAGCACGATCACGACGGATCTCCATGCCGAGGCAGTGACGAAGCTCGCCAAGGTCCTTGCACAGGAGACGTGCCTGCAGGGCCTTCTTGACAGCTGCAAGATCGGCGGAGTCCTCAGCAAGCAACACCAAATCGTCCACATAGGCAAGGATGTAAAGCCTGTGGGGGGATGTGCGAATGAAGAGACTGGGGTCGGAGGTGGAGGTAGAGAAGCCAAGAGAGTGAAGGGTGGAGGCGAGCTTGGCGTGCCAATCGCGTGGGGCCTATTTAAGGCCATACACAGGTCGTTTCAATTCCCAAACCGTGCCTGGAGGGAAAGGGCGAGGAAAGCCAGCGGGGCGCTCAAGGAATATGCGCTCATGCAGCTCGCCCTGGAGGAAAGCATTGGAAACGTCCATGGAATGGATCTCCCAATTCCAGCGAGCACCTAAGTCAAGAAGGAGGCGAAGAGTGGGGAGACGGGCTGTGGGGGAGTAAGTGGCAAAGTAATCAATGCCTTCACGCTGAGTGAACCCCTTGGCACAGTAGCGGGCCTTGGAGACAGGAAGTTCGCCGGGCAGCTGCTTGACACGGAAGACCCATTTGCCTTTGACAATGGTGGCGCCAGGGGGCGGGACAGAGTCAATGTATGAAGTAGTTCTGGTGAATGCCTCACACTCAGCAATGATGGCAGCCATCCACTCAGTGGCATGAAAGCCCGACACAGCCTTGGAGTAGGACTGAGGGGTGGGGATGGCAGCGGTGTCGATAGAGAGAAGAGTGGGTGAATTGCTAAAGTCACCAACGGTGACACATAGGAGAGGAGAAACAAGATGAATGTTGAAGAGCTCCTCAAAGCGATCTTCAAGAAGAGTAACATTCTGAGATGGAGAAAGACGAGTGAAAAGAGCAGAGTGCTGAAAATTAGAAAGTGCGCGAGTCATGGAGCGAGTAAGGCGTGGGGAAGGGGGGGGAATGGGAACAGACGAAGGAGGTGGAGAGGAAGATGGAAGTGAGGAAGGGAGGGGAGCCGAAGAGGAAGAGGCGGGTGGGGAGGCGCCAGAGATGATGTCGAAGGGGGGGCAGTAGAGGCTGGCGCAGAGGGAGGGGCGGGAAGGGGTGGGATAGGAGGGGGGGGGGGGGGAGGGGAGGGAAGGACAGACGGCGGCTGATCGAAATCAGACCAGTGAAGAGAGGGGACAGGAGGGGCGGGTGGGGGGGAATGGAATGGGGATTGAGTCTCATCGAAAATGACGTCCTGGTTGCGGATGAGTTGGTGAGAGGAAGGGGCATAGAAAAGATAGCCAGGACAGTCAGAGTTGATGCCAAGGAATGCACAGAGCTGCGTCTTGGGAGCGAGTTTCCCATCCTGACGGGACCGGTCTGCTGGATTGACAAGAACATGGGCGACACACCCCCAGACCCGAAGAGGGCGAACAGAGGGCTGGCGGCCAGTCCAAAGCTGGAAGGGGGTGGTAGTAGGGCGAAGAGGATGAGGGCGGAGGTTAGAGAGTAGAGTGGCATGGAGGAGAGCATAGCTCCAAAGAGAGTGGGGAGCAGAGGCATGGGTGAGAAGGCAGCGAGTGATTTCCATAAGAGTGCGATTGCGACGCTCGGCAACCCCATTCTGTTCTGGTGAGTGAGGAAGAGTGGAGGTTTGGCGAATGCCATGAGAGGCACAGTAAGAGGAGAGAGAATGATTAAAGAATTCGCCACCACCATCCGAGTGGAAGCGCGTGACAGGACGCTTAAAGCGTAGACGAGACTGCTCAGCCCAGCGAATGATGAGGGAGGGAGCGTCAGATTTGGCACGGAGGGGATAGACAGTGGCAAATCGTGAATGGTCATCAACCAAAAGCAGAAAGTAGCGATGACCCTGACGAGAAGCAGTAGGTGAAGGACCCCAGAGGTCCATATGAACAAGGTCAAGGGGTTGGGGAGAGGCTGAGGGAGAAGAGGGATGGGGTGACTGGGATAATTTGGCCTGGACACATGGGGTGCATGGAGGAGCAGGAGAGGGAGGAAGGGGGGGGAGAGAGGAAGGGAGGCCATGAAGAAGCTTGGAGGAGACCATACTGCGAAGAAGGGGAAAATTGGGGTGGCCAAGCCGATGATGGAGGAGAAGGGTAGGTTGAGTGAGAGAATGACAGTCGCAAGAAGGAACGGGAGGGGCAGAAGCGGAAGAGGCATGATGGGCAGAAGGGGGGAGAGAGACACAAAGAGTGTAGAGGCGAGTGATAGGGGAAAGAGTAAAGCATGCAAGATGGCGGTTGCGATGATAGAGATCACAATAGGGTCACATTCAGGAAAGATAGCTCGCACACAAAGACGTTGAAGAGCAGAGAGAGAGAGAAGGTTGTGGCGGCAGGAAGGGACATAGAGGCCAGTCATAGCACCAGAGGGGGAGGCAGGATAGGGAAGAGAGGAGGTAGCAGTGCAAGTCATGGTCATGGTATCCCCAGCTCCTTGAATGGAGAGGGGATGGGGAAAAGAGCGAAGCACACCAGCGTCACGAAAAACAGAGTCAGAGGCACCACTGTCAAGAACAAACTCAAGAGTGTGAGGGAGAGAAAGAGCAGCAGCTGTGGGACGAAGATACTGAGAATCATTGCCATTAACAGAAGGAGCAAACATCATGGCAAAACGAGGGTCCATAAGGGGAGAAGCCCCCAGAATGCTATCCTGACTAGGCATAGTCACACTGAGAGCAGAGGTTTGAGCACTGGTACCAGAGTCGGCAGCCACAAGTACCGCCTGGGCAGAAGACTGGCGACGCTGACGAGAGAGTTGAAGCCAATTGGGAGGGCGACTAGTGTTGCCAGCTAGGAACCAGTCATCAGTGAGCTTCTGGAAGCAGGAGGAGGCGTGATGATTGGTGCGACCGCAGGGCTGACCCTTGCGGGGCCCCTGGCGAATGATGTAGGTGCAAGGAGGAAAGGTGTTGCGAGGGCGAGAGGAAGCAGCGGCGACAGTGGAGGTGGGGAGAGGGGGGGGGGGCGGAAGAGGGTGTGACAGCGGTGGCAGTAGGAGGGCAGCTGCGGAGGTTGAGCTCTGCCTGGAGGAGGAAGGCAGAGACACGAGAGAACGACCACTGGTCGGCAGGGCGCTCACCATACAAAGTGAGAGGGGTGGTGAGAGGGGTGGTGAGAGGGGAGGTGAGAGGGGTGGTGAGAGGGGTGGTGAGAGGGGTGGTGAGAGGGGTGGTGAGAGGGGTGGTGAGAGGGGTGGTGAGAGGGGTGGTGAGAGGGGTGGTGAGAGGGGTGGTGAGAGGGGTGGTGAGAGGGGTGGTGAGAGGGGTGGTGAGAGGGGTGGTGAGAGGGGTGGTGAGAGGGGTGGTGAGAGGGGTGGTGAGAGGGGTGGTGAGAGGGGTGGTGAGAGGGGTGGTGAGAGGGGTGGTGAGAGGGGTGGTGAGAGGGGTGGTGAGAGGGGTGGTGAGAGGGGTGGTGAGGAATGGTGCATGCAGCCATTCCGTTCATTTAGGAATGGCACTGATAGGAGTCTGCGACTGGAAGCGCTTGGTAAGATAGCCGAGAAGGTCCTTGGCATAGCGGATGTGCGAGCACTGAGGGAGAAGAGTTGGAGGGAGGCTGGCAAGGATGACCTGACAGGCACGTGCGTTGGCAACATGCCAGTCAGCGAGAAGGTCAGAGTGAGATGGAGCAGAGGAAATGGGCGTAGACGTAGAGCGAGGAGAAGGGGCAGCGAGGTGCTCAGTGAGGCGCTTGCGGGTGCTCTCGAGGGACTCAGCAAGAATACGAGCTAAGTCACGGGCAGCAGCATTGTCAGGAGCAGTCGTGGCGGTGGCTTGCGCTGTGGTCACAAGCCGCTCAGTTTCAGCAATGGCAGCACAGAGGCCATCAGCATAGGGGTCAGAGGAGGAAGAGGTGGGTCCAGAGGGAGAGGTGGGAATGGCGCCAGAACCACTCTGCTGAGTGACAAACCATAGGTTAAAGCCACTCACGAGGGTGCCAGACAGCGTGCGCTCAAGACAGTTCAGCCAACTGGGGAAGTTGACTGCACTGCCATCGGGCGCAAGCTGAAGGACCAGAAGAGGGAGGGAGGGGAGGGCGAGAGAGGTCGCCATGAGGAGGAGGAAACAACTGCAGAGCAGATGTGGGGAGAGGTATAAGAGGCGGAGGAATAAGGGCGGGGTAGTCTGCTGCTGAGCCGTTGAGGGGAGAAACAAGAGGAGGAGGGAAAGTGGCGGAGTAGTCTGCTGCCGAGCCGATGCGGGGAGAAACCAGAGGAGGAGGGAAAATGGCGAAGTAGTCTGCTGCTGCGCTGATGAGGGGAGAAACCAGAGGAGGAGGGAAAATGGCGAAGTAGTCTGCTGCTGCGCTGATGAGGGGAGAAACCAGAGGAGGAGGGAAAATGGCGGAGTAGTCTGCTGCTGCGCCGATGAGGGGAGAAACCAGAGGAGGAGGGATAGCGGCGGAGAAGTCTGCTGCTGTGCCGCTGAAGGGAGAAACAAGAGGAGGAGGGAGAATTGGGAAGAGTGTGCAGTTGAGCAGTTGAGAGGAGGATGTTGAGGAGGAGGGAAGGTGTGGAGGAACAACAGCTACACAACACAATCAGCGACCAGCTGCAGCAGATGAAGAGAGAAAAGAGGTGGAGGAGGGGTGAGATAGTGGAGAGGGAACTAGTGGGAGAGAGGGGAGGAGGAGGAGGGTGAAGGGGCGGATTGTAGGAAGGGCAGGGCGCGCCACAAGGAGCTACGAGCTGTAGCAGATGGGGAGAGAAAATAGGAGGAGGAAGAGGTGAGGTATTGGGGGAAGCACAAAGGAGAGAGGGAAGGAGGAGGAGGGTGAGGATTGAGGAAGGGCAGGCACGCGCGCTGCTGGACGGTGCTTAGCGCGCGCGGCGGCAGGAGCGCAATGCGCGCGCGACGAGACAGGGAGGGGGGAGGGGACGGCTGAGCGCGCTACAGGCAGAAATCGCCGTACTACCGTCCGAAACGTGAGGAGGAGGAAGCGGGATGAAGAGGGAAGGTGCGGACGGATGATCTGAACGGTAGGGAGGCGCGCTTCGGACTAGATTAGGGCACCCGAGCGAGTATAACGAAGAGAACCGCGCGGATGCTAAGAGTGACGGGAAAGAAACGAGAGGAAAGGAGAGAAAAAAAAATCGTCTAGCTAAGTAGCGCGGAATACGGCCTAAGGGCCAGAGATTATCTAAGAAATGCGGATGAATATGAAACGCCTAGGACTACGCTCTGATACCATGTTAAAACGAGAGGAGCCATGGATGGCGAGAGAGTTAGGTAGGGTCGAAAAAGTTGAACTAGAAAGAGAAATGTCGAGGTACAAAAGAGAGATGGTTGGAAACCCTAATTGAACCTAGGGTGTGTTCAGTTTGTACTAAGAGCTACAAAATGAACCTAAAATGAACCTGAATGCGTAACGCTCTCTGAGCATGGAGAAATAATATAAGAACACCAACATAGAGACAAGAGCGAGCTCTAGCCTACTCCAACAGCCCGCGGCGGGCCTAACGAGCAGGCGCAGCGGCGGGTTTAACGGGCAGGCGCGGCGGCGCGAAGGAGGGCCCGTGGCGGGCCTAACGGGCAGGCGCGGCGAGCGCTAAGGGCAGACGCGGGGGAGCTAAGGGCAGGTGCATGGCGGGTGCTAAGGGCAGGCCCGCTGGCGGGCGCTCAGTGTCAGACTTGTATGACTTAGCCTGTGTAGGCTATAGTGGGGTAGCACATATGGGGTACAAAACATTTCTAGGTTTGTACTTGTACCCAACCTTTCCCTTAGTCAATCATTCCTCGTTTCTTATCATGGTATCGAGCAGGTTCCCTAGTGGGAACGCTACCTAGGGCCCACCACAATATTTTTTTTCCTGCCCGGAGCGCGCTTCGCTCCTGCCCGAGTCGCGCTCTGTGTGCCCTCCCTACCTTCGCGCCGCCTTTAGCGGCCCCTCTCACGGCCCCTTAAGCCGCCCTTACGGCCCCTCGCACCGCCCTCTACGGCCCCTCGCGCCGCCCTTCCGGCCCCTTACGGCCCCTCGTGCTGCCCTTACGGCCCCTTACGGCCCCTCACGCCGCCCTTACGGCCCTCGCGCGGCCCCTTTCGGCCCCTCGCGGCGCCCTTTACGGCCCCTTACGGCCCCGTCTAGGCCCCCTGCGGCCCCTCTTTGGCCCCGTCTAGGCCCCTTGCGGCCCCTCTGCGGCCCCGTCTAGGCCCCTTGCGGCCCCTCTGCGGTCCCGTCGCCGCCACCTGCGGCCCCGTCGCCGCCACCTGCGGCCCCGTCGCCGTCACCTGCGGCCCCGTCGCCGCCACCTGCGGCCCCGCCGCCGCCACCTGCGGCCCCGCCGCCGCCACCTGCGGCCCCGTCGCCGCCACCTGCGGCCCCGTCGCCGTCACCTGCGGCCCCGTCGCCCTCCCCTACAGGCCCCGTCGCCGCCCTTTGCGACCGCCTCGCCGCCCTTAGCGGCCCCGTCACCTCCCTCAGCGGCCACGCCGCCGCCTCTACCGCCCCCGTCACCGCTCCGCCGCCCAGCGACCGAACCGCTGAGCCGCCCAGCAGCCGAGCCGCCCACCAGCCGAGCCGCCGAGCCGCTCAGCAGCCGAGCCGCCGAGCAGCCGAGCCGCCCACCAGCTGAGCCGCCGAGCCGCCCAGCAGCCGAGCCGCCCAGCAGCCGAGTCGCCGAGCCGCCGAGCCGCCCTACTGTCGAGCCGCTGCTGTTCCTACCGGTGCGCCCCGGCCCTACTTCCTCGGACTGGTGAGATCACTCCCTACTAGGCCACTGCAGTCATGGCTACCCCCAGTGTCCTTACTTTTGACGCTGAGGGCCGTGCCGTTGACTTTGAGGTCTGGGTCGATGACCTCCAGCTGTTTCTCCAGTGCGATAGGGCAGACGGACTCTCTCTGTTCGATCTCACCTCTGGTGTCTCTCCCGCCCCGCCTGCTACTGCTGACAGCACTGTTCGCTCACAGTGGGCCACACGCGATGCTGCTGCTTGCCTTGCTGTGCGTCGCCACTTACCGACCGCTGAGCGTGCGCACTTTAGCCAGTACAAGACTGCTAAGACCTTGTACGACGCTGTAGTTGCACGCTACTCCTCTCCTGCCACTGCTGCTCTTAGCCGCCTCATGCTGCCGTACCTGTTCCCTGACCTTGCTGCCTTTCCCACAGTCGCTGACCTCATTACTCACCTTCGCACTAGTGACGTTCGCTACCGCGCTGCGCTTCCTGCTGAGTTCTGCGCCAAGAACCCCCCCCCCATGTACATCACCCTCTACTACATAGTCACCCGCCTCCCTGACTCCCTTCGCTTAGTCAGGGACCACTTCCTCTCAGTTTGCCCCACCACTCTCACCGTCGATCTCCTCGAGGAGCGCCTCCTAGCAGCAGAGAAGAGCATAGTCGCTGTAGGAGCCTCTCATGGTGACCCTCGCACCCCCGTCTTTGAGGGGTGTTCCCCCTCCCCCCTCTTGCCCTCTGTTGCTTCTGCTGCTGCGGCCGACCTCGTTGGTTTCGAGTCGGTCGGCGCTGCGTCTGCCCCGAGCGGGAGACGCCGCACCGGCAAGGGCAAGGGGGGCAAGGGCGCTGGAGGGGCTGGCGGGGGCGGTGGAGGTGGTGGTGGAGGCAGTGGAGGGGGTGGTGGTGGTGGTGGGAGTGGTGGCGGGGGTGGAGGTGTCGGTGGCAGCAGTGGAGGCGGAGGAGGCGGCGGCGGTGGCGGAGGGAGCGGAGGCGGCGGAGGTGGTGGAGGCGGCGGAGGCGGCGGAGGTGGCGGAGGCGGCGGCGGCAGCAGTGGACCTGGTCGCGGCTCTGCGCAGAGGAGTGTCTCCGGTGGTGGTACGCGCCAGCAGCAGCAGCGCAGCCATGAGACCCTGTCCCCTCAGCAGCTTCGTGAATGGTACGCTGCGCGTCAGCGCGGTGGGGGTACTGGTCCCTGCACCTACGTTCTCCGCACCGTCGACCGCGCTAGTGAGCAGTGCGGGGGCCCGCACTCCACCCAGCGCTGCTTCGGCCGCCTGACGGACGCATGGCGTCACCAGTTCCCTGAGGCCTCTGAGATCCCTCGCTGGGGAGAGCTGTCTAGGGCGGGGGTTGCTATATTTGATCTTGATTTTGATGCTATTCTTGCTGCCATGTATGCTGTGTCTGATAGTGTTGAGGGTGACTGTTACCTGTGTGTTCCGCCTGACCCGGGCATTGAGGCTGCTGCTCTAGGTACTGGTGAGGCTGCTGCTCTAGGTGCTAGTGCGTCTGCTGCCCCAGGTGCTGGTGAGTCTGCTCTCTCAGGTACTACGTCGGCTCAGGCCTTACACACCTTCACCCTTGACTCGGGTGCTTCCCGCTCCTTCTTTCGAGACCGCACCACACTTACGCCGCTCAGTCGGCCGGTTGCGGTCTCCCTGGCGGACCCCTCTGGGGGCCCTGTCCTTGCTCGCTTCTCCACTGTCTTACCGTGTCCGGCAGCCCCCTCTGGCACCCTGTCAGGTCTCTACCTCCCCTCGTTCTCTACGAACTTGGTGAGTGGAGCTGATCTACAGGATAGGGGGGTTGACCAGTTCACTCCTGCGAGTCAGCGGGTGACCCACTGTACGTGTGCTCGGACAGGCCGACACTTGGCCACGTTCACCCGTCGGCCGGGGTCGAGCCTGTACACCCTCACTACTGAGTCTACTCCGCCTGCTGAGTCTGGTCAGGTAGTTGCGTCGAGTCAGGTGTTTGCTGCAGCGTCCAGGTCTAGTCCTGAGTCTGCTCCCTGCTCGTGTCGTCTCCTGTCTCACCAGACTCTCCTTTGGCACCAC